ACAGGAATATATCACAATTCACAGCAGGTTTGATATGGTGATGTTGAGATCCTTGATAAAGGAATTATATGATGATGTCAAAATGTACATGAATATCCACCAATCAATGATGTTGAAAGTATGCTTTTACTATTTAATTCATTTTTTTTTCATATCTAATTCAGATACATAAAGAATTCCTTCAAGACAAATAAAAAAATCTCCAATCCATTTTTATTATCAAACCATGTTATAACATTGATTGAAGACGGTAGGGATGGAATACTAAATCTCGTGCTCCCTAACGCTATACAAAAAGATTGTGGTAACATATTTTATTGATTAAGAGAAGAGTTTAACAGTTATACTGGTTGACATGAAAGGGAAACAACTCTACAGACCTTGTTATTCAGAAGGAATGTACGCGAGGTGTGCATATGAGAGCAACACGTTTATTATTGTGTTTTCATAATTCTGTCAGGAACGATCGATCGAGTAGTCGATACTATGAATAATCTTACTGCGCAATTTAAAGTTTCAAGGGACACAACTCTTGGAATCTTAGAGCGTATGAAATATATGAATATCTTTGTTCAAACATATGGCCGGGTAATTTGAACATGCACAGGAAAACTTCACACTCGAGATAACATATTATTGTTGTAAGCATCCTCAATATATACAGATAAACCTTTTTGAAAGTATTTTGAAATCCAAATGAGTTAAAATTGTACATTCGATATCTTCTGAAGGGGTAATGTGGTTGACATAATTCACAAATGAATATTTCACAATACACAGCAAGGATGATGTGCTGAAGCTGACATCAATGAGAAGTGAATATTTCACAATACACAGCAAGGATGATATGGCGATTCGTATTTAATTCATATTTCTTCATATCTAATTCAGATATATAAAAAATTCCTCCAAGACAAATGTGAAAATCTCCAATCCAAGTTTATTGTCAAACCATGTTATTACATTGATTTAAGACGGTAGGGTTGGAATACTAAATATCGTGCTCGCTAACGCTATGTAAAAATAGATAACATGACTTATTGATTAAGTGTTTAACAGTTACACTGGTTGACATGCAAGGGAAATAACTCTACAGACCTTGTTATTCAGAAGGAATGTGCGCGAGGTGTGCATATGAGAGCAACACGTTTATTATTGTGTTGTCATAACTGTGTCAGAAAATATCGATCGAGTAGTCGATACTATGAATAATGTTACTGCGCAGTTTAAAGTTTCAAGGGACACAACTCTTAGAATCTTAGAGCGTATGAAATATATGAATATCTTTGTTAACACATATGGCCGGGTAATTTGAACATGCACAGGAAAACTTCACACGCGAGATAACATGTTATTGTTGTAAGCATCCTCAATATATACAGATAAAACATGATAACATTTATAAAGAGTGCTACCATTATAACTGCGGATGTTAGTTATATTTTCCACAACGGCCATTTCTCTGTATTGTTAAAGAACCTGTATATTCCAATGTTCGTGTCACTCTTTTACGGAACATATTAATAACATTTCATTATCATACACATTCAAATGGTGCATAGACGAGGGTCATGAGGAAAACTCCATGTATAGTGTTTTCCATGAGGAAAACTCCATGTATAGTGTTTTCCTCTATTAGTATAATGTATCAGGAACAACGTGATAACAAGTAGTAATTCAGGTTCGTCATAGTGAGTGAGTGAGCGTGTTGGTTTAAATGCCGCTTTTAACGTTACAGTTATATCACGGCGTTTCAGCTTAATGTGGGAGGAAAGTCCGAAGTGATGCAGGTCTCAGACGTTTATCACTTCGGTGAAACCCACGAGCACGGGTATGGTGCTGCAAAACCTAGAAACATAATCGGGGCGAACAGGGTTTCGAACACACTATCAAAGGTTTTCGCGTGCCCTAGGGACGCAACTCTACACAGCGAATCGCGGCGCCTTAGACGACTGGATCACCTGTGCTCTGGGGTTAGTCATAAACTCAGGAAGTACATGTGTATCTTTCTGATTCCTTCTAAAATATACTAACAGAAAGAAATAACTGTGCTTCATATAAAGTGGTGTGAATGTTAAGCCATTGGAAATAACAATATAATATTTGGTCATACGTCTGATCAATGTTTTATCATTACAAATACATCGACAAAACCCATACCTCGTAACACAACCTAAAGAAGGGGTCATCTAACAACTCATTTAACAATGTCAATATCGGGTGTGACCACAAAAGACTGGCCCAACTGAGCTAGTGTTACCGGCTGGTTCTGGGCCTGTCGTAGGCGTCGTTTCATCCCATCCAGGACATGTTCTATAGGGGAAAGTCTGGGGAAACAGCCAGCAATAGTAGTAAAGTAATGTCATGTTGCCTCAAAAAGTATGTTACAGCATGTGCAACAAGTGAGCGGGCATTATACTGCTTCAACGTTACATTACGTCCCTGGATAGAACATGACCTCGAACGATGTCAAGCGGTTGAGTTCGGTTATGCCACTAATTAGTCTCAACCCGAGTATTGTCCTAGATGACAATGTGTCAGTGTCGTATCTATTTCGTAGTTGTACGAACCGAATATGGTTGTCTTGTTTTATCGACGTCATACTTGGACGACTGGCCCGTGTGTTGTCGTGCTGTAGTTAACGTCTCCAATGAGATAACATTGGGTTTCAATGATGTCTTGCAACCTCGTTTTGCAGTATTCCTGTTTGCATCATACCCATAGTAGGTTAGAGGTTGATTTTCAGGAAGCCGTGGCATTGAGTAAGCCTTATTTACGGTTAAACAAAAGCATTTTTTATTAGTTATGATAGCGGAAAAATCACTGTGTGCTATTCACATTTACAAGACACATGTGTGAGTATCATGTTTCCAACAAGCACCCAAACTTCTAATTTGTGCATGAACATGCACATGGAAATTGTAAATCACGATCCTGAAGTCGAGGAGAAGTCTTCATATGTACTCAAAAAAGCATAATCTAATTTCAGAATAAACTAATTTTCATTAAATATACATGATGCACGGTTACTTTTTACCGTTAGTATATGTTGTGTGTTGATAATGATCATCATGCTTTTTTCAATGTCATAGGAACGTGTTTTTCTAAGGACAAGTATAGACATACTTTAAAAGTATTTTGAAGTCTGTTTAATTTACAGATACATTCTTTAGTCTCATACTGTTATTTCTGAATCCTTCGGTGTAGTTCATGTATATTGCTTGGAATTTCATGTAGCCAAGTACACATTTGATCTGAATGATTTATCGGGGCAGAATCTACATGTCTTAATTGCACTTATCACATTGATCACATTTGCAAAGACGTACATATGTACGTTTTGTTTGTTGTTTAACGCCGCACTCCACAATATTCCAGCTGTATGACGGCGGTCTGTGAATAATCGAGTCTGGGCCAGACAATCAAGTGTTTGACATCATGAGCATCGATCTACGTAATGGTGATATGATGACATGCATCAATCAAGTCACCGAGCCTGACCGTTAGTCGCCTTAGTTCAAATCGCCTTTTACGACAAGAATGTCGCCTCTTGTGACAAATAGGTTGCTGAAAATAAGTTCTAACCCTGATCGTCAAGGGTTTCATACGAATTTGTAGATATTGCCACTGGTATACACAGGTAAATTAAATCGACAAAATCCTTTCCATAATCATAAGATCCATTGTTCGAAAACGACTAAGTCTCCAGAATGTAGAATTTTATTGTATAGTGATGATACCAGATGTTCACGAAAGGTGATTGTATCCTGCCCCACCGGTGGCACCCGTCAAAAACACAAGTCAATTGGTCACCTAAAAAAACAAGGACACATTATGGTACAAGTCAAAAAAAGGAATTGCATTAGACATAACTGTGGTAACTGATGCCTCACATACTTCACTTTCAAAAACTCATTTAGGTTAAATGACTAAAACTTAGACATGTATATAGATCCGTTTGTTCTCGTTGTGCAACGTCTGCAGATTTCGCGGTATTTTTCGTCGATAGTGCGTTGTTATATACCACTGCACGAGGAAACAGTGGTCAGGGTAAACACATGCAGTCTGCAGCATGATCTGAATAAGAATTTTAAGCTTTGTTTTGAATTACAAATTGAGTGTAAACGCAAACTGAAATATTCGAGGAATATAATATTGAATACTCATTTTATGAAATATAATATTGTATATAATCATATATGAACATTAGTTGTATTGATATATTTGAGCGAGTTCAAGCCAATCCTGTTTATTCTAAGGCATCTTTCAAATGGCACGCCCAATTAATGAAAGCTGATAAGTAAAACATTACATGACGATTGTTGTGTTACTTCATTGTTAGGATCATAAATGGAGCAACGGTTCAGAAAACAGAAAAGGGGGAATAACTCTACACACCTTGCCCAGGAGGGGGAGGTGTGCCTGTGCGAGACACGCATTAATGATTGCGGCGTTGTCATAACAGTGTCATGTGATATCGATCGACATCGTGATGCCCGAAACAACCTAACTGCGCAGTTACGACTTACAAGGGAGACAACTCTTGGACTCCTGAGTGGCATGAGATAGAAGGTCATGTCTGCTAAGAACCGATTCATTGAATGTGTATGCCACCTGAAGTACGTGGGCAGATGTTCCTTTGTAAATGTGTTCAATGGAAATACCAAGTAAAGAACGTTGTTATACAATTGCAATGACACGCATATGCCATGCTCCTTACAAATCTGCCATCGCGTTATTGACGACGCCTAGCTACGCTTGACACATTCATGCTATTATATAACATGTTTAGTAAACAGCTTAAGAAGTGCAACTGTATACACATATTTTGTGTATGTTTGTATCCACAACACAAAGTGAATAACTACATGCACGACGTGTATACTTAATGCTTACGGTTGAAGTATGTGAGACTCCATTGTTATATGGTCATGTCTTTATTCCATAAATGGTCAGTAGTCAACACGAAAACGTTATTTCCAAATATGGCCAACGCAACATCTGGTGGGGACATTTATTCAATGTATGTACAGGAAAATCCAGATACAAATGTGAGGAAAAAATGTAATACAGAACAACTGAATATGATAACATTCATTTTTTTTCTATTACCAACGAAAAATACGTATACATGCATGTCCATATTTGGTTTGATAAGTGGCCCATACACAGCCCAAAATTTGAAATGCAAAATGCGTGACATTTGTTATATATACAACTACATACGTATTCAGACATTTTCATTTAGAGACTGATAACGCTACAAGGATAACAACATGCTTTTTATGCATTTGGAAAATCTATAATATCGATTATGATGATCAACAATTTGTCATAGTACATACTGATATGTAGGTCTTTGTGCACGGGGCTGATATGTTATTGCACTAAATCATTGTAACGTCTATCTGGACAACAATTTCGCGATATCAATCACAAACAGCCTTAGGTATTGTGATTACATTCTAAAAATATATCTGACTCTGAATATATTTGTCCTGTTTTATCAATATCGTACCAATCTTGTTTTCCTATAAGGAAAACTACGCACAGGTGTTTATTGATGCTGTGTATTTGTATTCATATGTTTATCTTTAAGAGCCATCATGTGAAATGATTTGCTACACACAAAAGTCATACTATGTATTCATGACTAGTTTTAGGTTCACCACCAAATGGTTTTAACCTTCATGACATCAACAAATACACATGTCATTGTATTGACATTGCACAGATAACATGCCACTGTGTCCCAAACGTTCGTGACACACGCGCACCATTCAATCCCTATTTGGACATATTCCAGTGCTACAAGGAAGTAAAATATTTATTAGCTAAGCAACTGTTCTATAGCTGCGAATAAGCGCCGATTTCATTCTCCGTTCAACTAAGGACCAAACAACAAGGCAACACCGTGTTTACAGTACCATGGCTACCTTCCTGGTTGAAACACAAAGACGTCCAACAATAAGACATCCGGTCTTTAGAATTGTGACATTCTTTGAATTGAAAGCTCGTCCTCTTTGCGTCATAATTTAATTCACGCCAAACCGTCCACCAAACCCGAACAGTGTCAGTGTGACCGTTGCCAAAGCGATGGTACGAATACAAAGGGTGAGTGAATAATGTTTTTTCACTGAGCTTCGATCAGGTGCGAATCACGATTAAACAGGTGTGAAGTCATATCCCTTTTGAGGATCAGCTAGAAATATCAGTGGCGTTTTTCGGTTTCCTCACTTGTGATTTCAATTTTCATAAACGTGTAGATCTAGATCACCTGAAAAATATGAAAATAATTGAAAAAAAGATATAATGAATTATTTCGAAATTACAGGAATATGTTAAAGAACTTGAATAGATGACATTCAGAGTGTTATTTGTTGGTTGACATATCCCCGTTCATGATGTTGATGTCAGAAGTTACCTGTATTGGTTTCAGTTGTGATTGATGTTTTTATATCCTCATAGACTTGAGGTGACCTCACTTGAAGACCTTCGTACACCGCATTACCTGCAAAAATAATTACTGTCATAAAGATGTTTTAAAACATGTGTGACTATTGATATAATGTCACGTGTTAACATAATGGCAGTGCCAGCCTTGACAAACGTCAAGTCACATTTCCAATTAGTGGTATAATGTAATAAATGTTAGATAAAGTTAAATTGCTGAATGCAAAGGTACTGTTAAGACTTATTAGTATAATAACAATAAATAAATAAATAAATAAATAAATAAATAAATAAATAAATAAATAAATAAATAGCCTATCTACAGTTCAAGAGATAATATATATTCTTTAAATTGGTAATTTTATATGGGTGACTGAATTTTACAGTTATAGGAGTACATCTTTGGGAACATTAGAAAAAGAACACAAATCTCCACTGGTCGCGTCGCGTCAGACTAATAATCATGGCCATCGTACTAGTATCAATCTGATAGTACCTTAGGATCAGCCAGGCCCATATAAACATCACCTACCCTCTGTGGAGGATTTTGCAAAGGATTTCAGCACTGTGTAGATCTGTCTGTCGCACTCCTTGTCGCGAAGGCCAGAGTAGATACCTGAATCTTCGGGGTAATTAAAAAAAGACGTTATAAGTTGAAACAGATAAAGTAACAACATAATTGTCTTTGGGCAGTTGAACAAGAAGCCTATGAAACAATTGATGATTGCATGACACATGTTATTGTGACAATGATTAATCATCATCGTCAATATTATTGTAACAACTGCAATGCGTTCTGTACTAGGACACAGCTGAATGAATGAATGAATGAATGAATGAATGAATGAATTGATAGTTTTGTGCCACAACAAACGGGGAACTATGTAAGGATTGTTTGGTAGTGTAATTTACAATTCATTCACAATCGTACCTTGATTATTTTGGATTACGCCAGAATGTGATTGTCCTTCATTCCTGTAACCAAATTGCATTTGTTATACAACTGTCAGTTAATTTTACTTTATATCTTGTCTATATTTCTTTATGTTACACATTTTGATTTCGACACAGGGTTAATCTCTTGAACAGTTAATGCCTAACAATATTCACAAGCACTGTCATGTATACTTGAGATAGCTGGAGAAACTTATGTCTGTGTAATGCATAAGTAATGCAATAAGTGAAGCAACTTCAATTTGACATCTTTAAGACAAAACTAATGTAAGGCAGAAAATAATAGTTTAAAATAAATGCATGAAATATATTCTTATGATTGCTTGTGAATTTGCATCCAACAATGGTTTATTATTAATAGTGCTGGTAAGATAAGTGTGAGTCCCATCTTGAAATACAAGCAAAAATCACAAAAGAGTTGATTAGGAATATATGATAACAATATATATCTACATTATATACAGCCATTATAAAAGAACACATGAGAAGAAACAAATACGAAGGAAACATCATGTGCCAAGAATTTACTTTTCAGTTTTTTCAGATCGCAAATACTTCTTTGAATATGCAATTCCCAGTCATTACATACTTTGTGGTACAGTATACCTACTTGCTTTCTTCAGCACACGCCCGGGACTTCGTGGATAAGACGATGATGACTGCAACAGCTATCACTATCAGCACACCGATTATCATGCAAACAATCACTACCGGATCTAAAACAAATAAAACAATGTAGATGTTTGTTTTTTTAAATAGCATCATTTTAGACTTAGCCATGCAAATAAATATACATATATTTTCATATTCAATCCTAATAAAACATAATATTTACCTTGTTGAGAAGAATAAAATAGACATTTGTGTTAAGAAAATTCAATGGTGAAAAATCAATATGTTGTTTTGTTAACCTAGTTATTATTATACTAATTCTAATTTATTATTATTTCTTTAGAGCTTCAAAAAAAAAATATTCATTGATGCCTACGCCTGTAAAGTGCTCATTAAAAATATTGAATTTGCTAGGAAGTCACAACAAAAAAATGATTGTCATGCCTTTTAATCGTGATTCTGTCCTCCCCTGAACAGATACAGTGTACATACTGTGTCCATAGATGTTCCCTGTAATGATCCTAACATGGTATATAGTGTCAGACTCGAGATTACTTAGAACGGCCTGGAGGTCCTTCCCTCTTCCTGTTTCTAGATATGATCTTGCCTCATCCCAGTGTTCATTGTCTTTGCTGTACTCAACAGTAAAGATCTGAGCCGATCCTCCATTAAACTCTTGTTTCCAGGAAATGTGCAGCGAGGCCGAATCCTTAACAGACACTGTGACATCTGTAGGTGCAAGGGGAGGACCTTTCGATAAGAAAATACGGACACATTATTAATTGAAGTTTAACTGTGACATTTAAAATATGCTCAACAATTAATATGTTTATCTGGAAAGCTATATTACAAATTTATTCTTTATGTATGACATGTTGTGTTTTAATATGTTTCACCTTGTGATACAAGTGTAAAAGTTTCCACTATCTGGCCTAAGGCGTTGTTTGCGTGGAGCTGGTACATCCCAAAGTCTTCTGGCTGTAAATTTCTCAATTGTAGAGTGGATGTCACTGTCACAGCCGAGGTACTGATCTCTCTGGATGTGAGGTTATTCTGGTTATGTCCCTCTGGTCTGGTCCAGACGATACTTGGGCGAGGATAGGACAGGATGGTCATTGAAAGTATGACATTGCCACCATGTGATGAAACGTATTTGCGGTTTAGAGACGACATGTCATCAGGTCTGGGCAAACCTTGAGATGGCAAAAAAAAAATTGTGTTGATTACAATAAAACCGGATGAGTTCGTAAGACGAAAGTATAACTTTATCTAATTGTTCTTATTGTATAGTATTTTTTTATATATTGCATTCGTCATGCTAAATGGTATTTTCAGAATTGTACGGGAACGTTTTCGTTTAAGATATTCATATATTCTTATCTTTCTCCCATATATTTATAGCGAGTATCGAGTGACAAACATTACTGTTTAAAACAAGCAGTGGTAATTATTACACATTTCTTTTTCTGACATCTTACATCCTACAAAAAGTTCCAAATGTCTTCTAGCAGGCTCATCAATACTGTTTTCAGCTGCACAAGAGTATATCCCGCCGTGTCTACAGTCCGCTGTCCACTTATATTCCACCGTCTGTGAGTTGAATGCGGCTGTCAGTTCCTTTGTCCCCTTCATAAGTTTTACGGTCGAGAGTGGATTGCTGTCAACTGAACACATCAGTGTGATACTATCATGTTCAGTGACAGTCACTCTGTTTGTTGCATGGTTTATGGACAGAGTAAGGATTTGAGGCTTATCTGAAGCAAAAAAAACAACAAAAACATTACTAATACTCTGACTATAAAAGAAGACAATATCTTCAGTGAGGCTTGTCCGCTGCATAGAGTTGCTCAAACAACAGGGACCTTATAGAGCAACACTCAAACATCCTGATCCAGTGGACCAGCATAACCTCATCATAAAACAAACTGTTAAAATGACAAAGTAGACACAATTTATGGATAACAACTTCTTTAATACTGTAAAGGCGACGTTTCGGTATTAGAGTATTAAAGAGGTTGTTATCCATAAATTGTGTTTACTTTGTCATCCGTCAACTTCTAAGTAATGCCTATCAATCAATATTAAAATTACATCAACAGTCAGGCTACGCATTAACAGACGTCGAGGTTACTACATCCCTGTCACCACCTCATCAACTAGAACGGCATTGGGAATCAACATTTTCACCAGGCATCCCTACACATTGTGTTGTGAAGTGACACCGTTCATGTAGAAGACGCCATCTATTGCCACATGTGTCATTCGTTATCCTGTTTGCTGTTTTGGTTACACCCAGAAAGATGTATGCTGCTGAACCGCTGCTCAACTGCTCATGCCTTAGTACCCAAATGTCAAAAAGAGGCATTTACTTGTTTTCTGTTACCCTTGCTTCTGAATTCCGCTATTGAAGATGTGTACAGCCTATAAATAAGATATCTGTTATCTGAGTGGAAACACACATTGTGACAAGATAATACATATTGCTTGATATGTGTAAAATTATGTGATCAGCATCATTCTCACGTAATAAATTCAACTATTAGACATAAAAATGCCAAAAGGTATCAGGAAATCCATTAGTAAATGTTGAACTAGGCACATTTTACAATGTCATATTATTTCAAAATATCGGTGCTTTAGCAGAAAATTTTAATATCAAGTTAATTTGTGTATCAGGTTTGTTGCTTAGACATTACTTAAGATGCTTACACACAAGGACTGAGGGTGTTGGTAGCTGTACAGACATATTTCCAGTATTCTAATAATGGAACTTACACTGCACATCTACTTTCACCTCAGCAGAGTCAGATCTCACTACAGATGTCCCAAAACAAGGACTGAGGGTATTGGTAGCTGTACACACATATGTCCCCGACTGTGATCTCTGTATGTTGGTGATGGTCAGTGTAGACCCAGTCTGAGAAGTTAACTTCGCATCGTTTTTCTTTGTCCATTTCACAGTTGCTACCGGATGTGAATCGACAGAGCAGGCCACATCAAGCGTCTGTGATTCCGTGACAGAGGTTGACCTTTTCACCTGTACCGTGACACCATCTGGAAGTAAAGTATATCCTCCCAGAGGTACGCAATGCGAAGTAAGATGTATCTTTGGTTGAACATAACAGTGTGACAACCCTTTATGTCTTTTTTTAATATTGTTAATCATAGTTCTTTTTAATATATCACAAAACGCTTTAGCTTCACATCTTTTCTTTAATATGCATTAAGGGTTGCAAGATTGAATAGATCAGAAAGTATCCGGGAACATTCTCCAACTCAACTAATTATATTGTTCAGTTATAACACTTGATATGTGAAAAGAACTGTAAATGTTATTGGTTTAAATATGTTTTTCATGATAATCTGCACTCTGTCTCAGTATTTGACTTCTCGAGCAAACATTTTGATACTTTTCATATGTGAAACATCATGGTATTAATAACACGTTTTTGTTTGACTAAATCAATATTTCATATTTCAATTTAAGTTTTGTGGATAGATGAAAGCACATCAAAAGTTAACCCCTTCGTGATAAGCATTTATCCCCTACCGAATTTATATAAGAATATTCATGTAAAGCCATATTTTCTTCTGTATTGTAAGTTATACAAGCAAACGCATCTACCAAATAAACGAAGCAAACGCATTATCACATACACTGTACATCTAGAGTCACAGGTAGTGCAGCTTCCGACACATGTGTCCCCCTTGCGTTCCTGCCAAGACATGTGTAGCTTCCGCCTCTGCTCCTGGTGACAGGGCTGAGGTCAAGCACTCTACCCGTTACTGATGGAATACCGTTACGTCTCCAAATATATGACGTCACAGTCTCATTTGATGATGTTGCATGACATGTGAATCTGACATTTTGCTGACCCTCAACAACTTTATAAGGTCGGCAGCTGAACGACCCTGTGTCTATACTTGCTCTCTGGAGACCTTTTTTCAAAACAAAAGAACATGTATTAACATACAAACGATTTTGTAGTTCATGTCTTACAAACGAAGTTTTAGCTTTGGTATCATTTCCGCACTTAACAAATATGTGATCACTTTTTCTATGCAGTGATATGACTTTTCATTGCTATGTTTCCTTAGTTAGTACTCAAACTTCTTAATGCCTCTCAAAGAGTTGTTTCATGGCTAGCTCATCAGAAGTAGATTTGTCGCCTATATGTTTCTTTTCGTTCTTCATTCGAAGCTCCAGTATATTGATGGGCACCACAGTGGGAAAATCGTAAGACCTTTAGGCTTCCTTCTCTCATTAAATTTTGAAGGCGTGACATAACTGAAATACTGTCTAAATACAGTTAAAATGTATCTGAGTGGTGCATCGACACTATTGCGGACTGGTACTAGCTGACTGCCAAATGAAACGCCTGTGAAGAAAGAATCCTTTGTCCATATCTGTGTAATGTCTTCAAAATAGTTGAATATATCCCTTCCACAGTGAACTCACTTGACTTGAACTGTAATAGAAAATGCTTTCTATGTTTTCGAAAACTGTTCAGAAAACTGTTCAGAAAACTGTTCAGATACGAACACAAAATAATATTAATAATCATAACAGTCCTATCAAGAAAAATGTCAACACACCATTTGCTTGTAGGTACTACCTACAACATACCGTTTACTATCATTTACCAAGCCTACCTGCATGTAGTTGTATTCAGGAGCGGACCATTTGATTTCTGGCATGTCTTTGCAAGAGAAAACAGCTCCTAATTTTGTGTAACTAAGAAACTCAGCCTCCATCAAGTTGAACAAAAATAACTCAGCCTCAATAAAAAATTTCGAACGCAATATGGCCATCCTCATCAGTACTGAGTATTTCGTATGCAAAGCCATAATCCTCGAGAGGGAGACATCACCACGAGACACAATATGTCTGTAACCCTAATGTATTGTTAATCGTTTCATATCTTCCATTTCCATGTCCTTGGACAAGGTTATTGACACCGCTTGTCCCACTGTGTGTGAAATAACTGAAACAGCTGTTGACTGTGATGTGAATTGACCGTTAGGCAATATTCCCCCTTACCTGCAAAAAAGCCCCAAAATACAACATAAACATATACATAAATAAAAATAGTTTTTTGCAGTAACCTAAACTGTCATTACCAACCACCATTCTTTGTTCCTGAAAACAGAACAGGAACAATGTCAAGGAAGATACTTGTATTGTCAAAAGACATGAATTAACAACATCATTACAAACTATTGTATGAGAATGAAGGTGGCTACATGTGTATCTTATTGCAGTTGTGAGGGTGGAGGGTTTGTTATATCGCCTTGGTAACTGTATTGAGGAATCTTTAACTTACGGCAAAGCGATTAGAGCTATCCCGTTTTTTAGTGTCATACAGAACTGGGCTGAGTGATATTAGCTTCTAACACTTCTTGCACCTATCTGGAACATTCTTCCCTAATGGCTAATTAAAAGGGAGTTTAATGGGTATGGCGTCACCTGTTTCTATTTTGTGATGATGTAAGTGAGTGTATCCTAATCCTGACCAATCTGAGGCACAAACTGATCTTTAGGATTAGAGAAATACTGTATACTTGTAGTATCAATATTGTCACTAAAAGCTCCATAACGTTCAAGGATAGTGTTATTGTGCAAACCACTTCAATAGTTTTCTCCAAAACTTCATTCATCCAAAAATCCTAATTGTTTCAATATGTTTCGGAAGTGCGTGGAGATTCTATCTCCTTTTTTCTGTTTAGTATCAGCGTTTACATTCAGCGTATCCCTTCAAATCATAAGCCCTCTACGGGCAGGACCCTTAATTACCATCACTATCTATAAATATCAATTACCACCTCCTTGCGACGTCGGATCTTACGTATGGTCTTTTATTATACAAAAAAATGCATTATTATATTGCTATTGTCATGTTCTGTTTTAAAATCACTTGCATCTGTACAGTTATCATGTTTAAGTGGACAGTGACAAAATTTCCACATTCTTTCCATAGGTTGAATTTGAAAAATAATATTCTTAGCTCTCTTTTCAGAAGAAACAAAATATCTGAGTCCCTAAAAATAAAGAAAAAAAAAACATGACTCAACTCAAAACACCCTGCCCTCCGCCCCTTAGCACATCTTGAACAACCCGCTGCCTTGTAACAACTTCATCGTTCATAGTTGATCATCATTGAGACCGCTTTACTGAACAGGCATTTAACTCATTTTTTCTGGAAACAGTTGTGAAATCATTCGCTATAGTTGGGCATGTTTGGGAGGAATTGGATGTAAATATGGCTGTTATGTTTAATTTTGGTTTTGCTTACCAACTTGACATGCCATCGCAATGTTTAGAACATTCTCATTAAATGACGAATTATTCATTTGTCAAATCACTTCATTTTCGAAACAGGGGTGTAGGAATTTTACTTAATGATTAATTAAAGACGTAAGTATTGTTTTGATGTAACAGATTCCACTGTCTTCTATTTTACTAGCATCAGTCAGGAGGTCTAGGCTCTTTTGGGTGTCTAAATCTGTGCGTAATAATGAGGAAGACAGGATGAGAATGCCAACATTTCTAAGACAAATAAGAATTGAGCAAGAGTAGAATTAGCGGGTGAGATGTACCAGTGTACATTATTATTAACTTCGGACACATACCTGATATAGACACCGGTAGCAAGCATGTGCAGATGAATATTAACGACAAAATCGTCATATTTTACGAACTGAAAAAGACAAAAGACGAATTCTGAATCTTTCCGACTTTAGCACAATGTATTAGAAATATCATTGACTAACCCTACATTTTAACACACACACACACCAGACACACACACACACACACACACACACACACACACACACACACACACACACACACACACACACACACACACACAAACATATACATACATTTTACAGTTGGCTTTAAAAATGTGGTCTTGTTAGTCGCAATAACGTGATGTTTAAATTTCTATAGATTGTGCGTTAAAAATTCAGAAAACTCACCGGCTTTCACTGTTTGATTAGCATATATGCGCGTTGGTTATATGGCATAAATAGTAGCATTTGGCATTCACAACATATCTTGTTACTTGGTTGTTTTTTTCTGAATACTTCCTCGTTGTATGTCACTTCTCAACAGCGCCCAGTACAAACATTTATATCAGGAGGAAAGTACACACCACATTTTTGGTTCGATAATATTGTTTGTCCCTTAAATTTTCACGAGGCACCTTTTGTTAAATATCATATATCTGTTTCATATTCCCCTTTTCAGTCTTTCACAGACTACATACCAGTTTAACAACTAAGCTGTGAAACTGAAATACATTTTGATGATCCATAAGAAACCATGCATACCAATTAACACTAAAACACATTACTAATTTATGGTGATTCATAAACACATGCTAATGATATATTCATAATCGCACAATCTACTCTGCTCTGTTGTCGCCTTCATTTCCTTTATGTAGCGGGCAGCAGTAGTGTTTTGTTACATAATAGCAAGTGACCATGTATTTGCTTTGAAGATTGCAATATCTCCCTGTCAATTTGTTTCAAACAGTGATGCTACCAGGTGTTCACAAAAACATAAATTGACCCTCAGGTGGATCCAGTCACAAACACATGCAACAGCAAATACATTGTTTCCCTGAAAACACACAAGAACATTTTATACACACATGTATCAGTTAAAATAAGTAATTGCTTTGGACATCATTTTTGTCATTAATGCGTCAATTTTGAATAGTCCTCCACATGTCTACCACATACATTTTTGAAAGCTTAAACCTTGAATGTCGTAAAACCCATTCTATTACACCGGTTATGCAACGGGACTTGCATATTAACAACTATTATCATCCAAATTGTAACGAGTGGTTAGTGTGATATAGTATTGTAAATCTTTTCGAGTCACACTGGCAGTTTGGAGTATCATTTCCCAGGGAGCTAAGAAAGTAAATGTGATGTGAGCTGACCCATTACGTGGATTATAATTACATGCGTCTTTTGCACACTTCCATGGCGTGGAGTCTTTCGATTCAAAGGCCGTCTTTGTTGTTGCCCTAGATCTGTCACAAAGACAGTTTTATGAGTTCGGTAATAGTGCATGTTTTCTGAGCGACAAGGCTGGTCCGATCAAGGTAACATTGTAGAGACCATGTCTAACCGAATAGCTATGAATCGCGTTGCAGCTGAGCAGAGAGTATTGTGATTGCCATGAAGGAGAATGTCGAAAAGTCATCATTCAGCCATACACTCTTGTGCGTGTATGCAGATTGTTTCTTGATTTCCGGACCCAGGATATGTACCCTGACGGGTTACTATATCAAAATAAATTAGGTGGTAAATGCATCAACGATTCAAAGTTGTGTTCATTGAACGTGTATTGACAACAACTATGTTGGCATGAAATGTTGCATATCATGAGTATATATGGCTTAATTTACTTGCTGTAGGTCTTTGCATAGAATTTTTCAATATAAAGTAAAAAAATATCATATTGGTTCAACTCTGAGGATGTCTGTTTCATGTATGTTTGATGTCTTAAATTATACAAATATGCTAAAATCACGTAACATGTGCAGACAACTTCTGAATAAATCAATGGACAAATGTGGAATTTTATTCTTTATTGAAATATATTGATATAAATGTAAATTGAATATATGACTTAGCAAAAGTATTTGGTTTACAGCATTAAATTTGTACATTTCTAAAATCCGAACAGAAAACATTTGGTTACTGTGCTCGTGGGTTTCACCGAAGTGGTAAACGTCTGAGACCTGCATCACTTCGGGCTTTCCTCCCACATTAAGCTGACACGCCGTGATATAACTGGAATACTGTTAAAATCGGCGTTAAACCCAACTCACTCACTCACTCACAACTGTATCAGGAAAACAAATACTGTTATGTGGTTCTGGGTAGACACACACCTATATCAGATAAAAAAAAGATGGTTTAAATATCCTATTTGTATCAAAACGGCACAACATTTATTCATGTAGCGATCAGTTAGGATAAAGAGTTTTCTCTGTGTTTAGTTGTATAGGGCAGATATTACACTACAATAGAAAAAGAATATAAAATCGGATATAGGTGTAACGATAAATTAAACAAACAAAAGAAATCAAATAGAAATTCGGTAAAGTAAAATGTTTTCTGTTTATATATTCACGTCATAGAAAATCAGTATTTCGTAAAATCCTACTTATGATTTATCATGGATCAGGAAACCTCAACAACAATTATTTCATCTACGATCCGACGCACTCTCGGAAGTTATTCTTACACATATCATCATGATAATAATCAGTATCAAAATCATATTCTGAAAACAATCACTATCAGAATCATATCATTTGAGAAGAAAGAAATTCAAATATGTAAATAATGAAATATGGATTATGTCTGAAATATCATTTCGCGTTTCTTTTTAAATGAATACTGATCTTTTACAAGACATGAACCATTTCACGTTTCGATGTCCCCTTAATATTTATTGTGTCGAAATCATCCGATATTTATGTAATTGTGTGTGTGCCTAAACAGAATAAGAAAATATAGTGACAAAACATAAATGGTATTATACATGTAAAGTAAGTAAATGTTTAATAGTATAACAAAGAGTAACAGAAAAAAAAGACACCAACATAAAATATAAACATAACATACTACTGATGAGACAAAACAAATCAGGTGTATGTATGTATGTATGTATGTATGTATGTATATATGTATGTATGTATGTATGTATGTATGTATGTATGTATGTACGTATGTATGTATGTATGACATTGTGTGTGTCTAAACAGAATAAGAAAATAAAGTGACAAAAAACATAAAATATAACCATAAGATACTACTGATGTATGTATGTATGTATGTATGTATGTATGTATGTATGTATGTATGTATGTATGTATGTGTGTGTGTGTGTGTGTGTCAGCGCACGTGATTGTATGTCTATGTATGTAGTGTGTACGTATGTATCTGTGTGTGTGCGTATACATCGTCGAATCATTGTGACAATTCAAATGACGGAACTATAAAAACTATTCATCACTGACAGCATGACAAACGATTAGTACAATAAGGTGAACTACAAAATATACAAAAAATGTTACTTCAAATAATACATGCTAATAGAAATCATTAGATACTGAATACAACCAATAATTGATATCGAGGCTTCTAAGTGAATTAAATATAACCGTAAATTGTTTTCGTGGACCAATGCAGTGTCCTTGTGTCGTTGTGTTTGTGATCAAACTACATGATTGTGAGCAGGCAAGGATATATCATTTTATCAACGTGCACATGGTATCACAGAAAACACCACAGTAGAAACTGGAAATAGTATTTAGTTGAACCTCATTCCAAGGACTACATAAATGAGAGCTCGTTTACGTTAGGACGATAACAAACCGTGAACATTCTGTATGGCATTAAAACTACTGAAGTTATGGTAATCGTTTCAAGTCCATTCATATGTACTCTTTGCACTATATTCCTAACATTTTCCATCATAAACTTTAATTGATTAAATTTAGGATACTTAAACATTGTACAAGTTTGTTTGTGCAGTTTGACATTGCATATTTGGTCTGTTCATACATTCATAATCTTAAATTGTTTATAGTATCTCAGTTGTTATTATTTGATTGTACAACAGTTTATCTACCAATGTATTGCTACCTTCTGGTCATAAATTGCATAATACTCTGAACCAATCTGAAATTGACATAAAGACATAAGAATGTAATCGAAGCTGATATTGTTTTCAGATCGATCTGTTGTTAAACTCATAATTCTTTACTTTTACTTCTTTTCATCCTCTTTTTCTGGTGGAAGAGGACAACCAACTACCCCATGGGCAATGCCAGCGTATTCAGTAGCTTCATCTGTCCACTCTGGGGCAGCAGTTGGTGTAGCCTGGTTACCAAACTCAACCCCAACGTACATGAGTCCATCTTCATCTCGTCCATATTTCAAACCCTGTAAATAACAGAAAACATTGCTAAACGACATATACCAATGTAGGTTAGAAACGTCTATTTTTATATTGAAAAGTTGCAATGTGCGTAACAAACTGGAGAGGATAGCACCTACATATTACCATAGTGAGAATAAAATCTCGAACATATTATGTAAAATATTTTGCAATTGCTTACATCGTCTCCTTCAAGGTATACATTGTCTTTGGCATGGGTACGTTCGTCTTGCTGGGTAGGGCGGTCTGTCTTGTTCGAATTACCTGAAACATAGTATTGGATACACACGTTAATATGGGAAGATTCAGGATAAATAAAATAAATATAACAAATTATTTGGAGCATATCCGTGCCATCCGTGTGACTACTGTTACACATGGCTACATAAGAACATCTTCCTTTCCTTGTTGCATCGTTAATTTATTATTGTCTCGCACGTTCTGACAATTTGAACCAAAATTAATTAGTTGGTATGTGAGTGACGCGTTAGTGTTGGACACAATGTCGAGAGAATACTAATATAAAGTCGTTATATTTCAAGATAACATACATGATATATGACCCGAAGAGTTTAAAGAGACATGTTCTTTCACTGAGACATCAATTGACAAATTAAGGTTACCTTTACATTGAAGAACGCCTCGTCTTTGAAGTATGACAATGGTTACGATTATCAATATCACCAATGCAGCTGCCCCGACTCCAGCCACTACAGGAATGATGTCTACAGTCGATTTTGATACTGCGGCAAAAGAAGTAGACTGCACGTAAAATGTAAACTGTGATGACGGTGGCCTATATGTGAACATCTCATTAATCACTTGCAATAGAACATGTTTCGCTTTGTAGATAGGAAATCTTCGGCTCAAATTATATAATACACATCGTTAAGTCTGTAGTATATGTCACTACAGTGGAATGGAATCATATGTGTGAACGCTTACAATAAATAAGCAAATACAAATTGTGTAAGCTGCTTTAAACGATTTTGCTGAGTTTTTTTTAAATATTAAAACTTGTTACCATTACATTCCCAGATCTGAGTATGATGTTGGTAATCAGCGACCGAAACGAATGCATTTACTGTATTGTATGGACAACAAATATAACACATTACATACCCTTCTTTCGAAAAGTTAAGCTTTTTTTCAAGGTTTTGGTGATGTATTTTAATCTGTTTAGAAACAGGAGACTGTAGCTCGTCGTTTTTATCCGCCCAGCATGAACTTACCGGCCTTTGTCACACTGAAGAAAAGTGTAGTTTTTCCAAGGCTGTTCTCCACAACTACACTGTACGTTGTGTACTCATCTTCACTTTTGATAAATACTTTCAAAGTGGAACTGAGACCACTAGAAACAATGAAACTACCTGTGCCATTATCGACAGGCATTTGAGGACTCGAATGTTTAAACCAGGTAAACTTAGGGAGTGGATTGGCTATGACATCTGCTGTCAGGGAGGCATAGTGCATGAGTTCTCCGGGAACCACCATGCCTGTAGGCCTTCTGGAATCCTGACGTGGAGAACCTGAAAGGAATCAGGGTATCACACGGTCATACAATATAATATTATCGCAAAACATGATAATTTTTCCTCACGATGCAGCCTTTATGGAAGTTATCCAAAAGAAATACATCAACACTGTAATCTACTATTGAAGGAGCCCATGCCCACTACCTACAAAACAATGTTTGTGACAATACAACCCCATGTTTGGTAGGTGTGTTTTGGGAGGAATATCTTCAAGCATACTAATATGTTTAACATCTAAAAATGCCAGATATATGCCACGTGACACCACTATTGTATATTCATCGATCCTGATGTGAAGATCTGGCAAACCATTTGAACGAGATCTTTTCATTAATGTCATATCAACAACTCGTATTATATGAATGAAATAAAATGGTACAAACATGTTACATTCAGTTGTGTCGTGGCATTCAGTTCTTCGTTTCTCTGATTGTTCTTAGTTGTGCATCTGATTTCGCTTTTGTGCAGACACGGGGCCCTCTCTATTGTGAACGTGATGTTATTACTGAATGCTGTTGTCATGTTGCCGTTGATGTCGATTGTCATCACCACAGTGGGGTTACTCACAACAGTACATGTCACAGTCACTGGATCATTCTCATTTACGCCCTGCTTGTCCAGTGTGATACTAGGACGTTCCAGGTCTGAAACAAATAACAATATGATTTGACGAATATAATTGGCAGCGAGATAATCTAATCTTTCTTAACCCGTAATCTGATATCTCGATAGTCCTGATATTATTTTT